GACCATGCACAAAGTAGGAAAAGCAAGCCGAAGGCGAAGAGGGAGTGTCACACACTTTGTGCTACAATATATACTACAACAACTGAGTGATCAGCGAAAAAAATAGCGCACTTCTTGGCGAAACTGACTAATCTAATAAACCTTGGCCCAAGTTTAACCCCAAGTCACACGCTGAACAAGTGGGTTGTTACCATGGTGACCATTCGCACTCCGTGCGTTGACCTTGTTATTATACACATCCCATTATGCAAATTTTTACTGGCTCTGCGTTGCCTACGTAAAAATTTTTAACGTTCTGATTGTGAATATTTCACCATTGCCTCAGAGACAGGGCCACTGAATAACTGTTGTTGATAATGATATTGTAAACAAACACGCACACACAAAACATTAAAGCCAGAAAAGTCAAGTCAAGAAACAACATTTCAAATAATAATAATTATGGTTTGACATCTATATCATTTTGAAATAAACTAAATTTCATGTAAATAAAATCCATGCGTTACAATTTACTGTAATTTCAAACTAGGGGCAGCGTACTTTGAACGCAGAGTATTCGATCGCTTACATTTCGAGTGAAAAAAACAAAACAACGTCAGGTGCTTTTGAACTACGTGCGATTGGCACAGTAACGGGCAATGACCTCAGCGGTTTACGCGCAATGAAATTCTAATCGAGCCAGCTAGCGTTATCGTACGGTATCATAAACTCAATAATTATTCATTCAAAATGCCTTTCACACTCACGAGTACCATGGAACACGAACATGTAACAGAAAAATATCGTCTTTTGTTTAAAGAAGATTCTGTCAACCAAGAATACATGCGCAAGGCAAGATTTATGAAACAGAAAATAATCATGTCATTGTCAGTGCAATGCAGACAGCCTGACCTGTTTTGATTAGTTTCTCGTTTGCTGGCCATTTTTTCTGGAGTGTGACACAAATGGTGAACATGATACTGCCAAATCAATCAAGAACCAGGATACGGCTTGGATACGCTGAAACTTTGTAAATCGTCCTCTTTTCAATTGTAGACTTTATTCCAGTGTAATAAAGGTATACCTACATGTACCATGAAAAATTGTATCGTATCACTTTGGAAATTGACGCTAAATACATGTACTAAATACTAAACAAGCGCACATATCGTATTCATTTACAGCATCGGATTTTAAAACAATGTCTCGTGGAATAACAAAGAAACTGTTAAGTACGTATTTCACACATTACCGAGGACCACGGTTGTGACCGGTACAGCAGTAGAGGCCCCTAATTATAAGCAGTCCGCGGCTCTCCCCGGCGTTCTGCGGTACACCGCGGTAATGAACGCGGTGCACTGCCCGTTTGATTTCCTACTCTTCCCTTACTAGGTGGATAGGAGAAGTGTTATCTATTACAGTTTAGTAATTGTGGCAATGGTCACTGGAAGGTCATATCGCATATTTCATAAGCTGAAACTTTTGCTAAATTTTTGCATTATTTGGTTACTGTACATGTGACTGAATTGAGAATGACAAAGTTAGATAACATGTAATGTCAAAGTGACATGTGATCTTGAGATGACCTTGACCTGGAGCCTTGAGATGTCCCTGACCCGGAATATTTCCCTAGTTATTGTGCATATTAATGAGATTACATGACCATATATGGTCATACGAAATATTAGCCAGACCTCTTGTTCAAAATGAGAGCTCTGTATTTTTATGTGATGCCATGAAAATTTCAGAAATTGTTCCCAAACCTAATAAAGGCTTTTAATGAAGTAATTTGCATATTTGTAAATATTTTATATAATGAAAGCAAGTGCAGAAATCTTTGAGATTGTCTTCATTTAAATAATCATCCTCATTTTTTTGCACTTTTATGACTGGGGGTTTGAATTCAAATGTACCTTTTTCAGCTAGTTCCTCATTGTCTGGTATATTTAATAATGGTATGTTTTCATCCATTCTCAATTCTCTTCTCTTAGCAGCTTCATCTTCTGTGTATTCCCGATGGTTGAATGCCGCCCTCAACGTCTCTACATTGAAATCTTCACTCAATCGCTGACTGAAAGCATACAGTTCACTGTCATAGTCCCTGATTAAACAAAAAAAAAGTTAATGTTATATGCACACACACACAAAAAAAATTTGAGTTTCACTGGTAGAAACAAGTCACAGAAACAAGTCTTTAGAGGATCGACAAGGGGGTATTTTCGTAAGCTATAATCAATTGTTTTTTATTTTCTTAATAATTTTTCATTATAACATTGGAAGCATGTATCTATCTGTATAAGTTCACAAAATATTACAATTATACATATTATTGAGGTCACATGATACATTAGTTACATCTCTTAACCAATGAGTTAATCTTAGCAATGGTTGCACATTTCTATCTGCAATAGTTCTTTAGAATTATGCGTATTAATGAGAACACATCCATGTACTAAATTTCATCAAAATCATGAGTGGTTCTTGAGATAACAGTAGAACAGACACACAAACCTATATATACACACACACACTAACTGTATAGTCTCCCATTGTGTGCTTTGAGTCATTAACACAATTGTTAATCTTTTGGAAATGCATGTAGAAATGTTCACAATTTGAAACAATCACTGTGACCCTGTGTCAAAAACTCAGTGAAATGTTTACTGTGAGTACTAAGCACAAAATTAATTAAAAAAACATTTTTTGTTGAAATTAAACTGGTGTACAGGTAAACAAATGAATACAAACAATTTTCACAGCAAACAATTCAACACTTACCATGGAAGTTCTGTATGTTCAGATCTTGGCACTGGCAGGGGAACTCCAAATTTCCTCTCTGCTTTCTTTTTCAATTTTTCTAAATACCACATATATGGACGATACCATCTTGCAACATGACGCACTTTAGAATCTATGAATATAATAATGAGGAGAAGAGGGTGTGGGTGTTAGGTTTTTGGCTTGGATTTTCTGTAAACAAGAAGGTCCATAAGTGTGGTTTCACAACTTCCTCTTTCTTTCTACACTCCAGTTCAAACATGCCAACTGACTGCATGACCCCAAAGCATCCAACATTGTTCATAGCATTAATCAAATATATATATTTAATAGCTATGGTTTTCTTGCAGATTGTAGATGCAGTTGGGATGATTTTGCTTTTGCTTTGAAGGAGGTTGTTTATAAATACAAAAATAATCCAGTCAAGTCAATGTCATGCTTATACTAACACATACAAATGAATGGAGTCAATTTAATTAGCTGGAGAGACGCACCACTCTATTCTGTTACTATGACGCTTCAGTCAGTCACAAATTTGAACAGTCACCGCGCATTTTCGTTCTATGTGTAACTTCCACTTGTGCTAAGTTTCTAATAATTTATAAATTACCTGGCTTTGTTGACTTATGCAGAGTTCTTATTTTGTCAATATATTGAAATCAATATAATTATCAGAGATTGATTTAGTTTCTATTATAGTAATGTCTAATTAATTTAAAAAAAAATATATAACTACCACTGTATTCAACATCTGTCAGATTTTGCCACATAATTCATTGACTCAATGTGGGGGAAGGGGGTTTACTCCCCAGCCAGTTGAAAACCTGGACCCTAAAGGATCTAAGTTGAGGGCGCTTTTTGGCTAAAAAAAATAGCGTCTTTGTGGAAATGGTCGAACATTTTAAAATTGGAAGTCAAAAAGATCGGCTCGATCGTGAAAATAAGGGTCAAAACATCGGCGCATCCGAGTACACTTCAACTATGAGAGCTCCACGTACTTTATGTAATAGCTCCATGGTTTGTGGATTGACCTGCCCTCGTCAAACTCTGATTCCGGTTTGTGTAAATCCCGGTCATATCAGCATCACCAGTCGGTGTTCGGAAATGTATATTACTAACCTGTGAGAAATGGGTTCGAGGTCCAGAGAATTCCACTTCTTATTTGGCGAACTAAATTAAAAGTCTTGGAACGATATGCACATGTACATGCCACAGTCGCCGCCATTTTGAAAAGTGCGCCCTCGACGATTAATACTACGTTAATTTTGTTTTTAGGGGATGTAGAAACGTATTCCGCGGCAAGAACATTGGATAAAACCCCAAAAGTTTTGAAAAATGCGTCCTGGACCTCATTTTAAATAAGCCAAACTATTATACATTTTATCAGTACCGGTATTCCTATTGTATTTTATATTTTTTGGTTATACATATACACCCAGCGACACCGATGCCAGCTGACTGTGAATATATAGTACAACCGAGTCATGATATCCCAACAAGAAAAATTGACCCTGATCTCAAAAATGGGTTTATAAACCCCAATAGCTAATTTGGAAACAGAATTGCAAAAAATTGTGAAAATAGGACTTGTGTTTAGGAACTTGGTTTCTCATCATTATATCATATGTGCTTTTCCTGTAGCATTATGTGAAGTGTACAGAGCATGTCAATGGATGGTTCTAAAACTACCAGTACTAACATTGGAGATGTACCACAAGTGAAAGATAATAATTTCAAAATTCTTTTGAAACAAGATCAGAACATGTAATGTGAGCAACTCATGGATCAAAGGAAGAGAGGACAAATGAGAAGTTTTGGATACATGCAAAGTAGTTTTATGTGAGATGGGGGGTGTATAGTTGGGAGGGTGAGACTAAAATCTAACACATTCCTGCCACCCATTCAAACCCCAATAAATGTACCAGTTGTTTTCTTATTCATGGAAAAATACATAGAAAACATGTTTGTTTTTATAAAAAAGATTTATTATCATTTATAAGTTTCTTGCTAGTAGGCATTTAGTTAAAACTATGATTGTCTAAAGTACCATTTAAATTATAAACTATGGTCCTTAACTGCCAGGACAAGTATTTTCAGTCTAATAAAATGTTACAAAATTTCCTCTGAATTATTTTTTGCAGCTTGTTCCACTTCTTTTAATGGTTTATGCCAATCAGAGGGAGGTGACGTCCTCATTTCCCATACATGCTTATGTTTGTTATTCTCCTCATTTCGTCTTCTCTCATTTTCTAGAAGTGTATCCTGTAAAGTCAAAACAGACATGCTCATTTTCACAACATAAAAATTTAATGATTTCTTATTACCAGATATGATATTTGTGGTGATCATGAAACAGTGAAAAGATTATTATTACCACAGGTGTTATTTGTGGTGATCATAAAAAAGTGAAAGGTTTCATATTACACTAGTTTGTGGTGATCATAGACCAGGGAACATAATTTACTGAAATTTAAATAATGTCATTATAGTAACAAGTCATTGAAAATGACACAGTCCTCGTTAAATTTTTGAAAGTTCTCTTTGTGCTCGTCATATTAAACCGGAGGGGTTGTCGCAAGCGTGTCCTTGAAACTTGAGTTCCAAGTGGCGTATGCAACAGATTGTTTATTTACATCAAAACACGAGTTCATTGTAGTAGTAATATGGCCAAAAATAAAAACAGCCATTATTCGGCCATCTTTGATCTGATTATGAAACACACGGATATGTATGATGTATGTGTACATAAATTGTGGAAATATAGCAGTAAGGCCAAAAAGTCAGATGGCTGTCAATCGGCCATCCTTGACCAGATTTTGAAACAAATTGTCATAAACATGCATCCTAACATGTATAAAGTACATGTATGTGCCAAATTTGAATGAAAACTGACAGATCACGTCCAAGATACTGCATAAAAAAACAAAACAAGATGCCTGCCAGTCAATCATCTTTGATCCAATTGCGAAATAAATCGTCATAGATAGGTATCCTAACATGTATAATCTTTGTACCAAGTATGAATGACAACTGACAAAGTCCAAAATACAACATTTTCAAAAAACAAGATGGCTGCCAGTCGGCCATCTTTGATCCAATTGTGAAATAAATCGTCATGGACATGTATCCTAACATGTATAATCTATGTACCAAGTTTGAATGAAAACTGACAAAACATGTCCAAAATACAACATTTTCAAAAAAAAAGATGGCTGCCAGTCGTCCATTTTGAATCGAATCGCTAAACCACTGCATGTGCATATGTCCCACATAAAGTACTAGGCACAGGCAAAGAATGAACAGAATCGGTCCAAGGGATTCTGAGATATGACTCTGGACGGACGCACGGATGCACAGACGCACAGATGCACGGACGCACGGACGGAGACCGAATTATAAGTCCCCGTTTTCGGACTTCGTCCAAACGGGGACTAATTAGCACACCTTGTGTGCAAACATATAATTAAATTAAAGGCAGTAGCATCAAACAAATATCTCATTTATGAAAATAGCTTATTGGGTTCAGAAATGCTTATTTTTTATAAACAGCTGAATTTATAATAAAGTAACTTAGAGATTTCCAAAACAGTCTTGCAACAAAACATCAATCTCAATTAATCTTGAGAGATTAGTATTTCTGTTTTCTGAGTTATGAAATATATATTAAAAATACTGCAATTATTACATGGACAAAATATTTATTTTTACCTTTGCTTCTTTAGATCCAGTATTGTCCCAAATTTTACAAATATTGTAATCTAGTTTAAATTGTTCACAGTTTGGCTTCTTTCCGTACACATAGAAAGAGTGGAGAAAGTTTGCAATTGCTGAAAAATAAAAACACAGTAAAGCTGTTGGGATGTTGATAATAAATAGCTACCAATTAATGACACAATTCACTTTCTCAACAAATCTCAACTAGTTGTCAGTTTCATAAATATATTTACCGTAGGTCCGAAATCTAACTACATTTGAGCTATGATAGTAGCAACCAATTTCTATAATGTTGACACGTATTATCATCACAAGCAACAACTCTGCACTGCTAATGTTTACATAAATGACAGAGATGAGATTAATAACTGAAATAAATGAAAAACTAAAAGATATTCCATCATATAAGACCAAGGGTGGTGGAAAAAGCTTTATCCAGTTCATAAAGATAAATCATGCACGGTGACTCGTATTTACCACAAGAGGATTCATAGCTGCAGTTGACCAAATATCGTTTACTAATGAAAAGCTGTGGATCTATGGCAATAACACTGTGTATGTATCATATGAATGCATTAAATATTACCAGCATGCAGAGCATATGTACAATATATTGTGACAGAGGTACATTACTTGGGGTTTGCAACTCGCATAGTACTGTATGGTGACATCATGTCAAGATCCCATTCAAGTCTCTTCTCTTAGATAGCGAGACTGAGGCTACGACCTTCTGGCATGACACATATCAATGTTCAAGGTTTGTAATGAAAAAATAAAACTTTTCTTGTCACTATCATAGTGAAAAATGTAATACATCGAAAATGTACAGAAAATATAGTTCTCGTAATCCGTCATATCGTGGGCAGCTATTTTGATCCACCTGGGCAGTATCCTAGTTATCTCGGGCATGCGCATTCGCATTTTTCTGAGTTGGAATGCTTATGCGAGAGCGAGATTGTGACGGGATCTTGGTATCATGTCACCGTAGTTACAAACCCCAAGTAATGTACCTCTGATTGTGATTATTATTATTTTTTACAAATTAGTCTCAACAAACAGAAATTGGTATAAAGTCAGCTGACATAAACATACAATTTTTTTAATCTTTCTAAATTAATGATTTGGTAACTAAGACAGCAACAACCATCCCACCCCCAGGTTTTACAATTGGTTGACCCTTAAACATGTGTACTGGTACTACCACTTACATTTGCAATCAGTGTATCTTCGTTGGTATATACTACATGGCCTTATATCCTGTTAGTTGGTGGAAACAGAAGGAGAATAACAACGTGAGGAGAAATGCAAATCAAAAAATGACAATTCTATTGTATATTGGAGAAAAGTTAGAAGAAATTTACAAACCCCTGTCTCGTACACGGAGCCCTCGGCCTCGTTCATGTTCACTCTCGTATCCTCCTAATCTCGTACACTGCGAGAGGTCAGCCCACTTCCGGGTCGACGCGTCAGCAGTGTATCAGTTTCGTTCGCCCAGAAACTTGGAACTGCCGGCGGTTTGAGGATAATAACTGCAATTTTAGGTCTGTTTCCATGGAAATATGTAGTCTGTTAGGTGAGTTAAACATTATGTTGGCACATAATTGGTGAAAATACGAGTGACAGTTATAAACGTGGGTGGTAAATGTCAAAATTGTCTCGACGTTACTCTGGAGCGGACATTCGGAATGAAAGTTATGTTATGATATTTTATGCACCCAGGGTCAGGATCATTGTATACACGTAAAAGACAGTTTACTCTGACTTTAGAGGTATAAACAGATCTGTTTATACCTCCATGCTCTGACCATAGAGGTAATAGTCTTTTAACCGTGGCATTTGCTATCACACAATCCGCCCAAGATGCTTTGAAATTTATCACCGCATTGTCTATTTACTTCTTTTTCTGATTTTGTCATGTGTGAATCCCCGGTTATGGACCTGAACCTAATATTATTATAGATATTCTCAGTAAGTGCCGAGTAAATGTACCCCCCTCTTCGCGAAATGTGCTGAGTTAATTAAACAACCTGAGCTAACCTAAACTGAGGTGTAAACCCTCTTTCCTCTCTTCTTGGTGACAATAACATAAAGTCATTCATATTTAATGAAGTCATTAAATTAAAATTTATTACTTTACCATATATCATACAAATTAATTTGCCACAAATACAATTTTTGTTTTTGTTTTTATTTTTGCTGTTACTTTTTTAGCTTTTGATAATTCATCATAATATTACCAGCTGACGTCAAATAACTCCTTGCAAAGCTCAGTCGCAGCTGTGCAGTTCTATGAATTGTGTATTTATGCTTTCATGGCTTTTATATATAGTCATTCCCTACATGATGTGATTTATAACATAATATATTTTAGAACTGGACTCTCTACGACAATTTCTTAAGACTCAATATTTAATGCGAGAATGGGTCTTTATTTTACAATGTAACAAATATTATTTGTGTTTATATACACTACATATATGTTTTTGAAACTCTGTATTATCGCTGATTTTTCAAATTTTGCTTCCCTGGGCATCTCTAATAAATAACCTATCTAACCACTTGGCTGAATTCATCAAAAATTCATAGACAATTGGGTGAAAATTGGTCGTTCACTGAATTTTCAAGGATGCAGGTTGTTGATTGGACAGTCAGTAGCCAATGAACAAATCTGAAATTCATGGTGTTTGCAAGCTAACCTGAAACCTGAAGTATTTATTGAATAACATGTTTTTTCATCTTTCTATTGTTGCTTTGATTTTTGCTTCAAAATCTGTGCAGACCCAACTAAGCTAAGAAGCATGGACTAGTATTGTTCAACGTTTGTGCGAATGCAATGACAAATAACTTTGATCATCCTTCCGGTATTAATTATAAATTTAGGAACTTGATTATTGTACAGGAAACAAATCAAGAGTCATAATGGCAAATGTTTTACTTAAAATTTTGATTTTGTCCTATAAAATGATTGCCTTTATAAAAGGTTCATTGCTAATTAATGTTATTTAAATGCATGCATTCAAATTTTGTGTAAATAAACCTTGTATGATATGATATGATATTTTATTTGGAACGTACACAAACAAATGTAAGGCAATGTCCAAAAGAGCAAAAGACATTACTGCAAAATAAAACAGATCTAAAATACAAAAAACAAACAAAGCAAAATTGGAAACTATAAACTTGTCACAACTGGAGAGAATATCAATGAATAGATCACCAATACTAAAATTTTGAAAAAGTGGCTCATAAATAAAGAGAGCTGAGAGAAATTTATGTCTACATTCTTTGATAATGTTATATTGACAATGAAATAGGTAATGTTTTTCATCTCCAATCTTGTTACAATCGTAGTCTTTCTTCTCTCTTAATCCCTGAATGTCTCCCAGATTCAACTGGTATGAAATGTGCCAATACTCCAAATCTTGTCAGAGCAATCCTGTGGTTTTTATTTGTAATGTCATCTAAATACTTTTCAAAAACATACTTATTAATTATTTTGTATAAATCTAATTTTTTGTTGCCCTGTGTATACATTTCTATGCATAGTATGAGACCCATATCAAGCACATGGAAGTGACAAAACCATGACTGCCACCCGTCTTCAAATTACCTTTACTCATGTATAGAAACATTGCCATTGTGTTGAGTTGTTTACCAACAATAGTACTTCTGTGCTACTAGGTGTGTTGGGGTTTCACTAATAATGGGTGTGGCTGGCAACTTGGCATAATAGCACAATATAAACAAATTCGGCAAATCATTCACACAATGCAAAATTTGTATTTTCACTAATTCTGTTCATACCTTTGGTTTTCAGACTGTCTGACTGTGGTGTTACTTTTTACATTAATCTAAGCATGGCATTGCCATGGTGGTATGGATCCAGTGTATATTAGTTTTTTAGAGGAAGAAGTTACACATGAAACAGACAACACTATCGTAGAAGAGACATTTAACTTGGATTCCTTTGACGTGTTGGTATCATATGATACTGACATTGAGCAGTGGAGAAGATATCAGAAACCATACAGTACATCTGAAGAAAATACTGTGAGAAGTGAACAAACAGAAAAACAATTCAAACAGTTTTATGAATTTCAGCTTTCAAAAGCAGAAGACTGTCTTGAAGCTAACTACCGTAACAATCAAGTAGCAACTCGAAAACAAAACTTTGATTCAACATTTGACCCGAAAAACATTGAGGTCAAAGGTCATATGTCCGAGATAAGCTACCACTCAGATGCAGAGTCTGTAGTCAGTGGGAGTGGTGTTCTAGGTTTTGGTGGTGACTTTGGTGTGCATGGTGGGGAGGTGATTAAGGGTAGGGGTTCTCCTGCAAGTATTACCAGTAATGGTAGTAGTATTTTAAGTGGTGCCAGCTATAGTTTCTCAAACTACAACCATCCTGGAACGCATGATACAAGCTTTTTTCCACAACGAGATCTGCACCATTTAGCAGATCAGATCAAAAACTCCCCAGAAAATGTGAAACTGTCCTCCAGTAACACAACTGGGAATGGTGACGGAATAGGTGTTGGGAATCTAGGTACCGAGGTGAGGAGAGCAAGTCGTGATAGCGCTTTGTTTCAACCTATTCGCTCACCAATAGAAGAAGAAGAGGAGGTGTTAGGGGATATTATTATAGATGGTGAACCGGTGGAACAGATCATAGCTAGAGACATTAGCAGTACTGAAGAGTCATCTATAGAACCACAGCAACAAAGTGTTGAAGAACTCACACAAGAGTTGAGCGATCTAGAAAAAGAAATTAAAAGACTTGTAGTAGACATTTATTCTGAGAAAAAAGTTGGTCTTTCTTCAGGAACATTAGAGACTGAGAATATTAGCAGTGAAAACAATAAGGTGGAAACTTTAGTGAAACCAGTAGATAACTCATCCAGTGGTGAAACAAACAAAGGTAAGTGTTGTGAGAAAAAAATGATGTAATCAACACCTTAAATGTATGCCACAAGTGCATCTCCAGTATAAGTGCAGGCAAAGTACATATTGCATGTAACTGTGTCGACTATGGTCTACTTTCGCTCAGAGTCAGAGAACTGATTTTGACCCAAAGTCTTGTTTTTAATCCCTAGATGATATGCGTGTTAAGAAAGGTCTTGAGGTTAAAACTATATTCCCTAACAGCAACCCAATACCCGGTACTCTGTGAATAGGTGTATGCTGAGTTAAATGTAAACCAATGTGATGTATGAACTGAATGCAGATTTAGCCGACAAAATATTTAAAAAAAAGCCATCTAGCCCTGTGTTTGTCAGCACAGGTTCCAGACACACACAGTCAGTGTATTCACTACTAATGGTGAAAATACGATATACTATGTCAGTATGTGTCATAGTCTTTCAGACAGTCTATATTTGTAATGCTACAAGCCAAAATGATGAAAGGGATAGCGACAAAAATTAACTGCTAAACTTTACAGTATTTGGAATATGTAAAATGATTACTGGTTTATAGTCTAGCTTGCTTTTCTTTCTTTCAATTCTGGCCTTTATGCATTAGACTGGCTATGTCTGGTCTCAGTCCTATGTGAGTTCAACTGAGGGTTTATCAGAGCCAAACTCTACTTGAGCCAAATGAGTTAACATATCTTTTTTTGCTGGCTCAAGTTGGCTCAGGCTGTTGGGCTCTGATAAATTGCTGTTGTGAATGAGGTACGTGCAATCATGTCATTGTATCAAAAAACTAAAGTAAAAATAGAATCTTCCCAAAATCAAGTTGAGTCAGCTTGTTGTTCCTAGGAGGTTAATTGGTCTACAGGGAAAAAAAAATGTAGTATAAATGTTTTAAGATCACTATATGAATGTAAGATTTTTGGTTCCACCAATGATGAGCCAGTGAATCAGTGCAAATTATTGTGCCATAACAATTTGTTATGTGTCAGTTAGCATGTCATATCTGCTTAGAAGGTACACTTAAAAAGCTGCATGTGTAAAGGCGAGTTGATTTTATTGATTTGATTTACTCAATTTGTATCGAAACAATTATTTGTGAACAGTTAAATTCTGATTGATTAGAGGAAAAATACTAAAAACGCCAGTGGGGAAAATGGAATATTCCAATATTCCTGCAGAGATTAATAACCAGCACAGCAAACAATGACACCTCTTTGTATCAGAATAATAAATGCTGGTTTTGCCCTGTACATATAAATAATGTATAGAACAGGTTCTTAAAATAGAATAGAACCCGGAACTAGTCTGTGTGTCATTTATATGTGTGGTTGATGTTAAATTCTGCTAATTTTATTTGTAATCGAGTTATTACAAGGTATGAATGTTTGTATTTTATATAAATACATTTTTTTTAAATATTTCTTGACATATGGTTTGCAGGCTGCTAACCCAAGTACACAGTGTTCTGCAATGTACGTTTGTCGTGAAAATTTATGGTTGTAAATTTAGGATTATTAATGCTTTGAACTGTGTGGTATTTATACTTCAGTGACTGTGTGTGATACATGTATGTCTAGGTGATTGTTACAACAAAGATGACGAGAATCAGTGACACGTATGAAATGTGTCAAGCTTATACAAATCACCTACCCGTATTCACAAACATCCCACAACTGAATGATGAATCTAAAACCTGGGTATCAATATTTAAACTTATGCTTGCAACACTCAAATAGAATGTAAAGAAAGCCAAGGTTATTTATTCCCCCACAATGATGTTCACTATATGCATTTACTTATTATTGCTAAACTGTGCTCTGCTGAAACATCAGAGCTATTTTCACCATCAGGTCACTTGTTAAAAGAGCTGATGCTGTAGATAGTGAAAATAACATTTAAGACATGTCATGATGCTATATATACATGTAGTTGATTGAAAGATCCGAAAAATATTACAATTTATGAAATGGGCTTGATTTGGGACTGAAAATAAATTAGTCTATAAACACTTTTTATCTGATATTTAATTCGCTGGCATTCAAAACATTTTTTTGTGAAAATAATTCATGTGTTGAGATTAGTCTTTATTTGAAATGTTGATACAACAATCAATCTAAATTAGATATTTTAATTTTTTGCATAAATTACTCTTTCATGTACGTTTTACCCTCCTAGTTCCATTGTTCCGTTTAGAATATCATAAATTACAGACATCATTTTGATACATTGATTCATAACATTTATGTGTAATTCTTGAAAAAGTTTTTAAACAAAATCAGTTTTTATCGAAAACTGATGTAAATGTCCATCTCACCTGTAACACATTGAGTGCCCACAAAGATTGCTCCATGTGTTGTCAACTGCCTTAAATGTCCATCTCACCTGTAACACATTGAGTGCCCACAAAGATTGCTCCATGTGTTGTCAACTGCCTTAAATGTCCATCTCACATGTAACACATTGAGTGCCCACAAAGATTGCTCCATGTGTTGTCAACTGCCTTAAATGTCCATCTCACCTGTAACACATTGAGTGCCCACAAAGATTGCTCCATGTGTTGTCAACTGCCTTAAATGTCCATCTCGCCTGTAACACATTGAGTGCCCACAAAGATTGCTCCATGTGTTGTCAACTGCCTTAAATGTCCATCTCACCTGTAACACATTGAGTGCCCACAAAGATTGCTCCATGTGTTGTCAACTGTATATTTATCATTGTGCTTAACTTCATAATTTTATTTTTTTACTTGTTTATTTGGCAAACACATAAAATCAGGATAAATTCATCTAAGATCTGATCACTTTAAAACTAGATTGGGAATGCACACATGGTCTTCAATATTTAATGGCGCCATTTTATTTTAGTCAAATTGAAACAAATTGACAAATACTTGAGAATCTCATTTTTATATCAACATTGTGATTTAAATCACTTCAATACTTAATACATGGATGTTTTAACCTTTTATCTGTATTGTTTACAGGAGGTGATAGCAGTACCCATACTCCGGGAGATTGTGATTTATCTATTGATGTATATAGTAACCCTAATATTGACATCACTCAACTAGTGAATTCAGTTATAGCAGGTAACTATGGCAGCAGGTGTTCTCTAAATTGTATTAAATATGGAAAACTTGCATTGAATAGTAACTGCATGACAATTGAAGGATGCCAAATGCATGCATTACCATTAAGTGCAAAATGATTTCTAATGCTGAGAATGTTGCATTGTAGTCAAATGAACTTTTGAGATGATCCCTAATACTAAGTGTGTAGATGTAATATTGAATTAAGCATTGTAGTAAAAATGAACTTGTGAGATGATCCTTAATGCTAAGTGTGTAGATGTAATATTGAATTAAGCATTGTAGTCAAAATGCATTTTTGAGATGATCCCTAATGCTAAGTATGTAATGTAGAATGTAGCGTTGTAGTCAAGATGAACTTGTGAGATGATCCCTAATCCATATATGTAATATTGAATGTAGCGGTGTAGTCAAGATGAACTTGTGAGATGACCCCTAATCCATAGATGTAATATTGAATGTAGCGGTGTAGTCAAGATGAACTTGTGAGATGATCCCTAATCCATACATGTAATATTGAATGTAGCGGTGTAGTCAAGATGAACTTGTGAGATGACCCCTAATCCATAGATGTAATATTGAATGTAGCGGTGTAGTCAAGATGAACTTGTGAGATGATCCCTAATCCATACATGTAATATTGAATGTAGCGGTGTAGTCAAGATGAACTTGTGAGATGACCCCTAATCCATAGATGTAATATTGATAAGAGGTTTGATTGTCATTCAGATAACATCCAAATATAATCTGTAACAGTTGTAATACAGCTGATTGGTGCCAATATATTATCACTCTGTAAACCATTAAATGAGTGAAAGATTATGGTCACATACTGTATTAGGAAATAATTGTTTGCTCCCTGTTATTGATTTAAATCAACTTTGGGCGGTCCTAAATATTAGGAAATTTGTCATTTGAAGTGAATGTGTTTTTAAAATTCTACTTTGGGTTGATTACAGTTGATTTATCTTTGTTTTGGGGCTAGAATGCCACATAATTAGTATTGTAAATACATGTACACATGCATATAGCTTGAATATGTCAGCAATTGCTGTTGACCTACCCCGGTAAATGTTTCTGAATTCATACATGTCATCAAAGTTCAAGTTGACATCCTCAAAACATAAAAATTAAATGGTTTACAGTATATTAATGCAAGTTGCATGTGTTGGTTACCATAAATTTGATTTTATACATTTTCTATTTGAATAGATGATATGCCTATTGACATTTTTGTATTCTTTTCTATAACCGATATACATTATATTAAACCTACTTTAGTATTAATTCTCAGTCCATTCTAACAAATTACTTAGAGTTACTGGTTCATTCCCAATGTATTTGTCTTATAGCTGTAAAAAAGATTTTTTTTCTACATCAGCATGTCATATTAATATATCACATATACTATCTCATAATAATGTGTCCATTTCTCATAACCATCAGTGTAATCATCCTTGTCACTCTTTTTTTATCGATACAGTTTCACAAATACAGTGAGAACTTTCTAATTTAGAGCAAGTTTTCTACAAGAAGCATTTATTAACCAAAACAGAAACAGGTGGCCAATTTATGAAGAGTAGGTTGAAAAAATGCCCCTTTCTTGTAGACTATGGACAGTTTTGGATGTGTGATGAATAAACAAAAAAAATGGGCCACTGAACTTTTGATTAAATAATATTTAGGCTTTCATACATATGTAATATTTTGACGATAGGGCATATTATCACAATAAAATGCTATTTGACACAGAAGATATAATGACCATCCACAAAGATGTCTACAGTTTATTCACATCAATATATTTTCCTGTTTTAGAAAACTACAACAGGCAATATGCACACATTGTATTAAAGTGAAACTGTATTGATCATTTACTACACACTACATTATCTTATATTTTCACAATAACGGTAAAATCATGCAGCCCATCTTCTTCTGCAATTGCATTTTATAGAAACTATGAGGTCTTCCAGTGTAGGTTCTAAAGAAGAGCGCCCTCAATCAGCTGGTTCCTCAAATGACATGTTACAAGCCTTATCTCAGTCATCAGGATTTGCATTACAACAGTCTTCCATAGGTAACTTAGCAACTGTCTCTGTAACACACTAATCATCTATTTTTCCTGCTGTCTTAACATATGTCTGTATTCACCGCTATGTACATGTAATAATATCAAACACTAATTATATAGATAGTGCCATGGAAACAGTTCTTTTGTCTAAGTACAGGGACTGAAGATTTTTTTTACATTTGATCTGTTTATAATGAATATTATTTCATTAAATTTTGAATTATTTTTCTGATATATAAATCAGGTTCACTGAATATCAGTTTCTCTTCTGATTAATCATTAATGAGGCTATTTGTTTGTTTTTTACACAAAGCATGATAAAGGAATAGATTTGGCAGAAAGGGAACCTTCTTTGATGGCATTAGAACTTAAACTTAATTGTAATGAAACACCCATTCTTATTCAAAGACTCTACTTTGTAATTTCTGTTGTTTACCACTCACAACCAATGCTATTGGGAGCTCAGCAGTACCCCCCACCCCCACCCCCACACGTGCCACTCCAGCTCCACTTTCTCACCCTCACTAACATATTTTGTCAATTTTTAGGGAATCCTAATTTCAAATCAGCATCTGCAGAACAAATATCTGCTGTTATTGCTAAAGCTGAAAAGCAGTACAGAGGAAAACTGAACCAGCACCCAGTGGAAAAAGACAGTGATCAGGCTAAAAAACCAAAAAGCCAGACTCCTGTTAAAGAGGTATATGCAATTTTCTGTAAATCATTTACCTCACTAGCCAAAAATCTTAATCGTTATATATCAATCAGAAATCTTCCTTTTATTATATGCAGAAGAAAACACAAATGTGTATGCTTTTAGTTCATGCAATTTAAAAAGAAACAATTACATGTACTTTTTACTCACAAGCTTATTATAATTACGATTTTTGTCTTGTTTCCAAAACTGTTTTTGTGTTGTTTGCCCCACTGTACACTTTTTGTCTCTCACTATTCAAGAATCAGAAATCAACTAAAATCATTGAAAAAAAAACAAATTTCTATTTATTGCACTTGAAAAAATAATTATTTTTACTCATGCAAATTGTTCTATCACAATGATCATGATTGACTCCCGTGTGTGCGAAGAACACAATGGGAGTCTTTGCAGTTACCCTGTCTGTATGTGTGTGTGTGTCCCCGTCTGTTCCACTTCTGTCTCAAGAACCATACATTGGATTTTGATGAGACTTGGTTCATGGATGCTCTGAACTAATGTCAGGTTTTGATTAGTTTTGGGTGAAAATCTGTGCATATTAATTACCTAATTTGCATAAGTATTAGTACATTTTCGGCTTTTCCACTGATATCTCAACTACTAATAACATTTCAATGAAACTTGGTACCTAGATGTCATAGGACACTGCACAGACCTAGTAGTTTTTAAGGTAATATCAGTACATATTAATTACCTAATTTGCATAATAAAATATTTTTCAGCTTTTGATATTTCAAGTAGTAAGCATTACATTTCAATGAAACATGGTACATAGATACTCAAGGACAATGCAGATATCTGATTAGTTTTGGGGTAAATAATTGTGCATATTAATTAACTTATTTGCATAATTATTTAATTTTCAGCTTTTTCACTGATATCTTGAGTACTAATTATCACCTTTAAATGAATCTAAACTATGCAGAGAGCCAATTAGTTGTTGGTATATATTTATGCATATTAATCACACTGATATCTCAAGTACTAATCACCACATTTCAATAAAACTTTGTACATAGATGCTCTAGGACAATGTACAAATATGATCAGTTTTGGGTTAAAATCTGTTCATATAAATTCCCTAATTAGCATAATAATTCATAATTGTTTGATTCTGATCACATTTCAATGAAACTTGGTACCTAGATGGTCTGTTACATTGCGCAGACCTTATTAGTTTTACACTCTGTTCATTTTAATTTTCTGATTTGCATAATTAGTTTTCAGCTTTTCCATCAATATCTCAAGTACAAGTAATTTTGATCTAATTTTTACTGTGTTTTTGTATTGTTTTCAAAAGTAGCTGAAACATGTACCCCATACATGTGCATACATCTGTTATACTTGCATCTCAGTGTGTGTGTGTGACATATATCAATGTACATGACATATGTTACTAAAAAAATTCCATTATTTGTTAATTTTTGTTTTATTTTAGCTTGCTGGTGATGTACATGAACCACCGACAAAACTACCTGCACCAGAATATTTCAAGCCATTACAGATGCCTCACGAGATACCTGTAGCAAGTGATTCTACTCCTGTGTCTACTAAGCCAAGTCCAGAGCAGCATAGTATCACACCTGAAAGTCATCAAACAGGTGATAAACTACCAATCCGACCAACTCCCACAACAGTCAAAATGCCATCTATGGCATTGATTGGACAGAATACTGGACTAGCAGTACAGTCTGCTGTTGCGTCTAAATTCTCTCGGAAGGAAGAATCCACATCCTTGTTCCGTAGCCCTGTAGAGTCAGTGATTTCCAGCCGTAACACTGAAAGTACTCTCATCAGCGGCAAAAAGTCCCAAGAACGAGAAAAATCTAAGAAATCACGAAAATCAGGAAAGCGAGGCAAACATCTGGATGATATATCAGTTACCCAGTCAGTGGAAACCATGTCTAATGCCAGTGATACAACCAACCTGACTAGTGTTACATTGCCCTCTAGAGGTAGCAGTGTCACCGGGAGTTTACCTCACACTCCCAAATCAGATGGTAAATCAAAGTCATTCTTTGGATCCATATTTTCATGGGGAGGCAACAAAGAAGGCGAACATCCACCAGGTTTGCCACCACATTTGTCTCAGATGTCAACTTACGAGCATGGTGACCATTTATCTATACATGACGAAAACACACATCACTCACCCATACAGGATGTACACCAACCAGTAACCAATGAGACAACAGATTCGGGCATTGGATTATCACATGCAGATACTCCAAACCAATCAGAATCCAGTTCTTTGCCAGCTGAAAGTATCTCGGCAACATCAACACCTATACAGTACCCTAAACACAACAAAGCTGAGAGACATAGCTATGGAATGTCTGGTCAAAGAGCATTGTTTTCAGCCAGTCCAAGACCTAAACAAAGCTTTGAAATACATTCTGATTCAAGCAGCTCAGATATATACACAGTTATGAGAGAGAAAGCAATGTTGGAAGGAAAGTTGGAGTCTATGGCTTCTGAAGCTGAGTCTGCAATCCACGACAGAGCACAACTGCTAAGTGAAGTTGCTGCACTGAAGATGCAGCTGCGAAATCAACATTCTACAGCTGATAGTGCCTTGCAGGAGAAATCTGCACTGGTAGTAGATTTAGAAACGCTGAAGCAAAACAGAGTTCAGTTGGAACACAAGATATTGGAGCTGCAGAATAAAATTGAAGTTAAAGATAATGACATTCAGAATCTTACAGATGAGTTGAAATCATCCCAAGAAAATAATGAAGAATTGTTTCACAAACTAGAACAGATTCGAGTCAATGTGACAACAAAAGAGACCTCCATCACAATGCTAAAAGATAAAATATCTACTCTACAGCATGAATTGGTAGCTGCACATCAAGAACATTCACACTCAGCTGGTGAAATGGCTTCCCTGGAAACTGATATACAGACTCTAGTCAATGCCAAAGAGTGGTTCCAAGACCAGCTCCAGCAAGCACAAGGGGCAAGAGCAAAACTACAACAAGAATTAATGAGGGCGCACAGCAATGCAGTGTCTCAAGGAACCATGATTGAAAATCTGAAAACTGAGAATGCCCGAATTCGACAGCAGCTGACAGAGACTCAGCAGAAGGCTTTGCAGGAGAAAGAAATGCTTGCCAAGCATCTGGAAGCTATCGAGGCTGACATGATGAATCGTGAAGCCACATTTGAGCAAATGTATCGTGAGAGGCAAGCAGCCGAGGAAGCAGTGTCACTGAAGATGCAAAGAGTTGAAGATGACAAGAATCAGTTGAGTAGTTTGATTGCTTCATCTGTACAAATTGAACAACAGCTTGAGAAAAGCAAGAAACAGCTGTATGTGAAAGAAGCGGCTTTAGCAGTGTTGGAGGAAGAAAAGACGGAACTGGTGAAAAGATTAACATTGGCACAGGTAAATGATTATTGTGTACTACACTAATTGTGTAGTACTATTTTGTGATTCAAAATTGTCCACTAACTTTTGCAAATAATAGAAAATTAACTAGCCTTGGCTATTTTATGTTTCAGCAACAAATCATTGAAGTTGAAGTTGATTAGGACATGTATTATGACTTTTTATGTTTACTTTCACAAATAACATCTTCTTGTACCTGTGTGTGTGAAATCAAATTATTATTGAAACAGCGTTTCATGTGACCCGACAGAGAATCTGTTCCAGTCTCAACACTCTTATTGGGAGATTATTATAGAAAATTATTATTATTATTATTGTAATCATTATTATTATTAAATTCTATTACTGAACTATCTGTTCAGATATGCCAGCCTCAGTCTTTTTGAAAATACACAATACATTTAATATTTTAATGTCCTCTGTTTCTCAGGAGTCCATCACATCTAGAGACCTTCAGATTGAATCACTAGAATCAAAATGTATAGACCTTGAAGTACAAATGAAGAACTTGAAAACTGAGAGCTTCAGCCATGATGAACTGATTCAGCAACTCAGAAATGAAAAGATCGCTTTGGAAAGTGCGCTGGCTACCGCTCATGAAGAGAAGAGAAGTATTGACTTAGCGTGTACGAGATTGCAGACAGACATGGGTAGAGTTGAAAAGAGTTTTAAAACCATGAAGCAAGACCTACAAGTGAAGATTACTGCTTTCGAAGATGTTGATAAAGAAAGAAATGAACTAAAAGTGAAGTTGGAAGAAACCGAGAAAGAATTGACTGAACACAAGAAGACATATCAAACACGCAATGCTGATGTGGCCAGTAAAACCAAATTGGTGGAGGAGTTGAAGAGCAATAAAATCTTACTTGAAGGGGAGGTTGCAGTTATGAAAAAACGAGTGCAAATGCTTGAGAACAATTACGATACTGCTAAACTTGAGAAAGAAAATCTGGAGAAAGATCTTATCAGTGCTGAGGAGAGTGTTTCTGATGCCCAGTCTGAGTTACAAACTGCTTTGGAAGGTAAAGCCCACCTAGAGGGTCAAATTGAGATGATGAATATGGAGCGAGAGACATACGCAATGCTAATTGAAGAAAACAACAGATTGAAACAGACATTAGCAGAGCAGCAGAGTATTTCACATAGAGAGGTTGCTGACAACAAAGCAAGAATTCTGAGACTCAGCTCAGATCTTAACCATGCACAAAAATCACTAAAGGAAAAACAGAAGTCTTATGATTCAGCCGTCAGTACTCTGACTATAAAATTGAAAGAAGCTGTTGAGGTGAGACAACGTACCGAGGTACAGTTGCAGGCTGTCCAGAATCAAGTTGTCTCCATCAAAGTGGAAGAGCAAGAAAAGTTAGAATCTGAAGTACAAACACTCAAAGTAGAACTGGAGACAACACAAATCAGAAAGCACACTCTTGAAACTGAACTTCATGAGTTACAGATGAAAATGGTGGAAGATACTAACAATTACACCAATAAGATAGCGAAGTTAGAGAGAGAATTGCAGGCCATGAAAGATTATAGTGAGAATCAAAGAAGAGCTGAAGATTTCAATCGAAAGATGGCATTGGAATTAGAGCGTGAGCGGGGAAGATTAGCAGGTAAATAAAGCACATTTCATATCATTCGCGTCTATTTTCAGATGCCACATGAAAGGAATTAAAAACAGGCACTTCTGGTCTTCTACATTAGGTGCATTCAGTTGATTTCTCAGCAATGTACTTGCATGTCCTAATTTTTCCTTGATCGTACAACTGAATTGACACATACCGGTAGATGAGGCAGCTGGTTTTTCAGTGTACCTTCCGGTACTCCTTGACTGTCCTTGCCCCATCCGAAGGAATATCACATAATTGGTATAAATCAAATTATATCACCTATTTGCTCTATTTGGATCATACATAGCTTAATTAACATTATGGATTAGTCTTTTTTACACAAGATTACCTATTAAAAGTCACCTCTCATAATCTTTCACCAATAATATGCACTTTGAAATACACAATACCTAATTTGCTTTATTAATAACGCATTTGTTGCGTCAATGACAGAGTTGAGATGATTCGATCAGCATCAATTAAATGCAATTTTTAATTTATGTGAACTTTATTGGAAATGCAATTCTAAATTACATTGAAAAGAAAAGCAATGATTGCTCATGGTTTCCATCAGAAAGCAACCTCCTAATTGTATGAAAAACGTCATGTCTGGTTTCTAGCCTGTTTTTGAATTGGCATTGATACAGCATATAATTGTGACTCTAACTGTAAACCATTTGGGCAATGAAATCATTGTATGATAGCCTGATTAAAATTTCATTATAAAGGCTAGCATGCATGCATACCAATACTTATACTATGTTTCTTTTTAGGTGTAAAACAAAGTCATGATGCCTTAAAACACCACACCAGTGTCTTAGAGACTGCACTAGCCAGACGAGAGTCCTCTCTTACTGAAATGGTTGGACAGGTTCAAAAGTTGAAACGAGAACGGGAGGATGACGAACAGAAGATTAACGAAAGACTGTTTGAATTAGAAGAACTGTTAAATGAGGAGAAAACTCTTAATATTGAAATTAAGAAAAAGGTATTGTTTTTATTTTAATTTTCAATCTTATGTGAGACATACAATTTTCTGAAACGTGTTTTTCAAATATTGTTTGCGACTTGATTTCCAGCTTAAGTTAAAATTGACCAATGAAAAATAGATGCCCTTTTCATTTAGGAGGCACAGTTCATTGAGGATGGGGGGGGGGGGGGGAGTCTCTGCGTGCATGAACATGGATTTGACCGACGACCACTCTTTATAAAATTCTTAAACTATATTAAAACTACACATACTTTATTGAAAGTGAGGTTCACTTTGTTAAGAACACACAGCTTTTGTGAGGTCATCTTGTCTACCAGTATTTATTGAATTCGGTTTTTCTTTTAACTCGTATTTTGGGTTCCTGAATTACTTACTAGTATCTTGCTCTACCAAGCTACAAAGCAAGTTGTATTGTCTTGAAAAATTCACATTATTTGTTTTCTCTTGTGACAGTTTATAGTATTTTGATTGTCCAATTACTGATATTTTAGTGATATATTATAATACATCAATGCTTGTTTCAACAGTTGACAGCTGAGTCAAATGAGAGAAGTAAATTACAGAGACAGAGTCATTCACTAAGCACTGATTTGGAACAATTACAACAAGATGTCAACAGCAAATCCAATGAAATACACCATGTAAAGGAGGAACTCAGCAAGATTAAAGAGGTAAACTGGCTCTAGAAAAGTTTATATTTTTCAAAAGTTAATGTATGGTAACATATTTGCTCTATTAGCAGTGCACCTCCAATAGAAACACACACACACAAACCAAAAATTATGTTTATTGTATACTGTTATTAAAATATTACTTTGACCATTTGACCGACAATATATCATCATCAAATAGACGAAGAGCAAATATGGTATTAGACCTGATTTCCAATCATGCTTTGTGCCATAATGTATTTGTGTGTGCTCTCATTAGTATGACCTGGTCCAGCTGTATTGAACCTGGTGTGTGTTCAACAGTTTTGTGTAGATATGCCTGCCCTACTGGTCATTAGCAATGTTTTTATGTACACTTGACAGTGCTGACCAATATTACTCGTTGGCAGATATAGTATAGTGAAGTGAAAGATAACGGTTGTTTGATTTGCCTGGCAAGAGTTTGCTGTGATTTAACTAATTAAAAACTAATTAATATTTGTAGAATGGATCAGTATTGCAGATTTCAGGGGAATTCAGTCTAGCCAGCCTATCAGTGGTTTTACTGCATGAGCCAACATGTACCTGAACTTCCCTCTATGCACAAAGATGTCATCCTAGTGACAACATTGACAATCCAATATATCCATCATTAATTCTTTCTTCATTCTGATTAGTTTTTTCAATTGATAAATATAAATAGTCTATTCTCTTTCTAGTATATATTTATTTGTATCTATAATTTATTGCAAATAAACCATTATTATTATTTTACTATTTGACATCAAATCATTGATTAAATCACTGTAAATCATTGTTTTCAGTCTGAAAGACAGCAAAGAACCGAAAAGGAACAATTACAGCTACATCTTAAAGGAAGTCGTCTTCAAGTGGAGAGATTGAAGAGACAGGTGGATGAAAAGGCTTCTCAGGAACCTGTGCTTCATGATAGGATACAGGTGGGTGAGATTTGTCTGTTACGGTATCTTAATATCTGCTAAGCTGTTTAAAAGTTTTTAACAAGTGTAGTAAAATGAGCCATGAACAAAAAATCAGTAGTAACGACATTTGCAAGTTATGCGAGTCAGAACCTGACCGATTTATTTATTATTATCTGGAATACCTGACATCATGGCGTACACTCTTTTGAACATGCTCAACACAACTAGCGTTGGAAAAACAAAATGTTATATTTTTGACATTCATGTGGAAACAGTAGCAAAAGATGTTCTGAGTTCTCATATAACGTGTAAAATCTAGAAAAAGAATAAGAAGTGTTCATCAAATAAATGCTAAAGGGAACTTGCTTCACATTGAATTTTGATTAATTAAGGCGGCATTAGAAACGGCAGTTTTGAGTGTGATTTGACGGACACCATGAGACACTAAAGATGTTGAAAACTGCCACAGTTTGATATAAATAAATGCTCTGTAAAGTTTGGCTGTTTTACAAACAACTTCTGAACCACCTAATTGTTGGATTTGATATATCGATCATGCTACTTCATGTGGCAAACAAACAAAATATATCTCGTAATGCAACTCAGCTTGTTGTTATTTCATCTTTCATGCATTTCATTGATGCACATGTGTTTTGTATGATGAAGCTGAGATGGAAAAACGTGTTCCTACTATAATGCCAGATGTCTAACCGAGTGAAAATCACTCTGATACATAAAATCAATAAAAAAATATAAACAACACTTAAAATTTGGACTGAAAAATAGTGAATATGCACTTACATGACAGAGAGGGCAGTATATAATTTGTGCTAGATGTGAGCTTGAAATTTTGCAATTATTCAATATTTTTCTTTTTTAAGAATGTTAATTATATACATGTACATGTAGGCAGTGTAAAATAACTCAAGACTGCGGTAATTTTGTAAAATCATGAACATTCTGTAGCAGTAAAAATGTCAGCGACTTTCACAAAATTATTTTTTCTCGATTGAAAAACAATTGTCAAATAGTGAGAATTAGGTGGATTACATTATGTGCCAATTGGTCTGAAATTAACAAAAAAATTTCCAGGAAATATAATTGCATTCAATTAGTTAATAGTGCTGTCGTTAAGTATAAAAAAAAACAACATGTATGTTGAAACTCAACCATGACAAAATGAGATAGAGGGGGGTGGGTTGTAAAATGGTTATATTTTTTATGGAGATGGAGAATAACCTTGTGAATAAAAATGTAATAATGTCAACCTTCTATATATAAATAATGAGATATTCTACTTGTCTAATGTATTTCTAAGATTAATACTTAGAAATAGTGATATTTGTTGCACCTACATGGCTGCACAATGCATAAATAATGTGATTTTATAGTTCTTGTATGCAGGATTTGCTCGATTAGAATCACTATCTATGCAAACAATTATTATTAACTGCATTTTTATACGGGTATATAAAGATGTGTCGTGATGTGACAATTATTCACTTTGACAATCAAGTTTTATGTCTGTATTTAGACTTTCCACGTTTTGGATTTTGGTGTTCAAATTCGTTTCAAATTTGGCAGCTAGTAGTGTGTGTTTGTGTGGTTTGTCCTATGTCCAGACTCTATTAAAATGGAATGTTATTGTGATATGCATAAACTGAGAGGTGTATTGTGATTTATTTCATTCCTTGTGTCCAGCTTTCTCCAATCAGTGTGGTGTACTAGATTATGAAAGATGAAAAAAATTGCATTCATTTATACTGGGTTATTAATTTACAACTTATTTTACAATACACTTACTTCTGTCTTTTATTATTTGTAAGTAAATGCAATATTCTATATTTTAAACCGCATATTATTGATAAAAATTTATGAGCGGTGACTTTTAATATGAAACCTAGTGTAGAAAGACGAAATCCATAATGATAATTAAACTATGGAAGAAATGATTGGGGGTACAGGAGTACAGGGTGTTGATATGACCTTGTCTATACTAGAGAATTTACCTTCTATATGCTTACATATTAGATGTATGTCACCATGTCTCTATAACTTATAACATGTCATAATTTGTGGTATTTGATGGCGTATTAAGAAATTCCATAATATTGAATGATTAAGCAATGTTTTCATGATTGCAACCGTGTGTTTCAATTGGGGAAAATGTTAGTGTTACCACAGAGTACGGTATACACAAAGACGATTTGTGGTTGTATCAACCTGTACTATGCATCAGTAAATTCCCTGAGTACACTGTCTGGGACATACTTTGTAATATCATCGTCATAGCCTCAGAAGGTACAGAAGTGCAGTTCGTTTTTACAAAGTGTGTTTTCAGCACCCTTAAAGCTTTTAGTCTTTGCTGGAGACAAAATGAAATATTCATATCAGAAGTATTAGATGAGTCATTAATTTTCAATTGAATTACAAATGTACCTGTTGTTTTCTATATGCCAATAGTCATATTTCATAATTAATGACTTGTTATCCAAGTTTCATGTACAAATGACTGAAGCATATTAGAAATGATTGTTGCAGATTATAATCAGAGCATTTACATGTTTCAATCAGTTTATTATTCGCACACTCATTTACCTTTTCACCACCAGTTTCCTCTTTTCATGACAAATTCACAAGATAGTTCTGCTTATAGTCTGCACTTTCCTTCAGAGGATTGGGACAAAAATAGTCAAAATTTTGAGGAAAAAATGAAAACTGACTCAAATTTTGTCTGTTGGCTCCAAAATTAGGGTTCATTTCCAGAAATATTTAAAGAATATAAGAAAAAGTGCAGACAAATTTGGGGCGAGAAAATCTGGTGGTTAAAAAGTTAAGTATTGTGATGTGATACAAGACACAATGTGCCCACTCCCCATAATAATTTATTTACACATAGGCAGTGACATTATTTAATGTTAATGTACAAATTATTTTTTGAGCGAGACTGTAATTTTCCAATGTCTGTGTATTTAGGTCAGTGGCCTAATGTATTATAAATAAATTTAAGATGAGTGCATGCAACTTTGATATCTTTGTACAGTAATATGAGGTTAACGTTTGATATCACATGTCTGTTGAGCTTGTTGATATGAGTGATGTTGTAAGCTAATGATACCCATGTTTTGATGTATTGGTTCAGAAATTCTAACTTTTGCTTTACAAGAATAAGATCGTACCAGGCAACAGGTACATTGTTGCTTTGTACCCATTCTTAATGTATATTGGTTTCTAATTTAATATTTGGATTCACAGGCAAGATTATATTAGTTATATGCTATGTTTTAAACTACTGATGTAATTTTTCCTCCCCAATAAATATCATTGAAGTCATAACAGTTTACGTATTTTCCCATACAAAGGACAGGTTACCCGTTAATATCTCAGGTCATACAGATAGCTTGAAATGAAAATGAATCCAGCTGTACTTACTAACAACTGTGTTGATTTATATTTTACACAGGTCAGCATTAAAAAATTTCAACGAAATTGGCGATACAAGTCAGAGCTTGAAACGTTGCGAGTTGAACTGTTGGCATTAAAAAATGTCAACGAAATTGGCGATACATACAATGTACATCAAATTAACAAAGCGGGGT